ACTCTCACAGCGACCCGGTCTCTTTTAACATTATGTTGTAGTACATTAAAATGATACATGCATACATACATACATACATACATGCATGCATACATACATACATGCATACATACATACGGCCACAAGCCACTAAGGGAAGAGACAAATGAACCCTTCATCACCGACTGGAACAAGTTTGAGACCCTTGCACGGGGTTGGCCCCCATGGTCACCAACAAGTTCGTAACAGCCTGCCGTGCTGGACATCTGACGGGGCTCTCTGTTGGGGAGGACTGGGTGGTTGCAGGCGAAGTGCATTCACGAAGACTGTGCCCACGAAGCCGGCATCGGGTATGAAGGCCTCGGCAGACTTGAGCCACTGGCGGGACGCAGTAGATGAGACTCCGGTTCCGAGCTCAACGCATAAGAGGCAGAACCGAGCCGTGCCAGCTCATGAAGCAACTCACTGTCCTGTCAAAGAAGAGTCCCTGACAAGAATGTCACTCTTGCGGACTCTTGCAGCTTGTGTCCAACTCATAACCGAAGCCAAAGGTGTTCACGCTGCACGGAAGCCTGCAACTCGACGGCAGCCGAAAGCGGAAAAGCCCAGGCGCACGGCCAATGCCTTCCTCCACTCTTCTCTTTGAGCCTCTTGAGCATTGGCACCTTTGAGGCTTGTGATTTGGGGCAAACTCTGATGGCAGCACTGCCCGCAAATTGGACCGGGGTCACAGGCAATGCCACGTGGTGGATTGATGTTCGGGATCTCAGCAAGGGAATTGCAGAGCTTCTCGCCCAATGTATGCTTGACAGGTCTTGACAGTGCGTGTCGGGGTCTTTGCCCCATCCGTCAGCAGTAGCAAATGTTGCAGCCTCACACTTCCGAAGGTCCACGAGACGGTACCATGCTGGATTTCGACGACCAAGACGTGCACCTCATGCCGTCCGATGCAGCTGCGAGGAGCTGGATGCCTCTGCGGGGGTAACATGGCGTAACCAAGTCCCGACGGAGATAGATGGGAGGCGCAATCCGCCTGCTTCGAGCCCGGCCTCGCTGCAGTTTCAATTGCTGCCATGATGCTCACCGTGCTGTGAGGCAGCAATCGCATGTGTCATGCCAAAAATGAGGGCAGAACCCAAATGTTGGTCATGCCATCGGGCAGTCTGGCATTGCGACTTGTAAACGACTCCATCAACGGCGCTTTGTGTGTTCGTGCGCCCTGCGACTGAATCCATGCTAGAGAGACAGCTGGTGAAGTCGCAGCTCGGCTCGTTGCTGACCCTGAGACGACATCTCACCGGAAGGGCACACAGCAGCAGCAGCTCGCAGTGCCGAAACTCAAACACCAAAAAAGGGACACACCTCTTTTGTCATGGGCGTGAGCTCCAGGATGACGCTTGCCTCACTCAAGCGGTCTCTGCGGTCTCCCTGCTCTCTGCCGATCGGATCGCTGTGCACCCGGCTGTATTGCTGTAGGCTACCAAAGCCAGCCGATCTCGGCCGTTTAGCAGATGGATGACGGTCCTTGCTGCACTCGGCATCCACGTGAAGGCAGACAGACACGACAACGGGCACAGGTCCGGAGTGCGTGCTTGACTATGTCTATGAGGGCAAGCCCATGACCTCAGTATGTGAGCACGTCTTGACCCTAGAACTTGCATCAAGAAGACCTTAGCAGCCAGCTTACCGACACACCAGCACCATCTGCCAGCATGGCCTCTTGTACGACCCAGATCCAATGCTAAGCGAAAGACACAGGCTCTGTGCGAGCAGCGATACAGCATCGCGGCTGCCTCAGCTGCCATGGATGTGGACACCTGAGGACACAAAAGAGGATCGACGCGATGCAAGCAGCAGATCTGCACCTATGCTTGCGCAGTGAAGTCCAAACACAATTCATTCAGGCTCGAGGCACCGGCATCGACAACGCAACAAATGTCCGATGGCGTTCGGACGCTGCCCAATGGTGGAACCTTGACCCCCGAAGCTTCCGTTAAGCAACGCTTCGTCGAGCTTTCTGAGGTCAAGACGATGGAGATCAGCATCTCATCGTCTGCCTTGCAGAACTTCCGTCTTCAGATCTTGACCCAATTTGCAGGCCGTCTGAGGGCCAAGCACCAGTTGCCGCCATCCCTCGGATATTCGGGCGCACTTGCATGATGTAGAGTTCTCTAGAGCTTTTTCTTTCCCTCCAAAGTGTCGTCTCCTTCGCATGGTCAGGCTCTTACAGGGTTGCTCGGACGAGCGTTCAGGAACCTGTGACTGCTTTGACTTCACAATTGGCGCTATAGCCTGGTCTTTTGGATGCTGTGAAGTGGCGAATCTGCCGTCCCCATCAACCCCAACGTCTGTCCTAGGACGCCCAACCATCCCAACCATCATCGTTTAACGAGCCAAGGGGCGCAAAGTCACGGCCTCCTCATCTTCAGTGGGAGGGTCTATGGCCTCTGCCTGCGAAACAGCAGACAGCAGACTACTCTGGCAATGCAAGAGTACAATCTCGAACTGCACCCGCACTGCTGAAGAGCTAGACACAATACCGGGCCACCTCGATGATTCTAGCTGCAGCCACCGTGGACGGAGACTGGCAGAGGCAGATTCAAGCGCGATGTTCTCGAAGCTTTGAGATTTTCCAACTGTGCCTCCTTTCCAACGAGCGCGTCTCGCAAGGCGAAATTCACACGTATCTCAGTTGCGGAGCTCTCCTTACAACGGACAGCTGCTTTCACTGTTCTCTTCGCATATGCCAACTGCGAGCCTCTCGACAAGTTGGACACCTGAATTTTCCAGCATTTGCAACCTCAGGTCCGGGGAAGCTGCACCGGTTCGGAGCATTTCGAGGTGCTCCAATCGAGAATTGGGGAATATTCTCCCATGGGAGCCTGCTCTAAGCAGCTGCTGCAGAAGGTATGCCCACAGTTCAGCACCTCATTCCATGGCAAAGTAAAGTTCATCGCCACAGGGTGCTCAGAGATCAATGCCTGTGGCACACGGCTGGGCAGCGCATAGTCTTGCAAACCTTGGAACTGCGATTACCAACGCGGCCGTGCACTTTGCAGCTTCGGCCATGTTTGACTGAGTTCCACGCAAACGGAACACTCCATGTGCAACGTGCGCTTAGCATGTAGCTTTCTTCAGAGAGCAGGGTAAACATGTGGGCAGTCTCGCATGTACTACGTATGGCGGTACTGTGCATGGCACGTCTTGCTTGCGCCACATGTCATAGTACTGTGAGCTCTGAAGCCGCAGTATGCCGCGGTATACAGTGTTGTTCCCGAGCCCGTTTCGATGAGACTTTGCCGATGGCACAACAGCAGCCACCGCCAGAGTCTCTCTACGCTTGTTTTGGATGACTCTCCGCTGCCAATGTCTTCTCCGGCTTCTGACCGACAGCGCGGGCACTGGCAGCAGAAGCCATTGTTTCGAAGCAAATACCTCAGGTCGCAGCACTTCTCTGTTGATCGACTGAGTAGCACTTCATAACTCTCTCAGAGCACTAGATGCTGGTTTGAAACTCGCGCCGTTGCTCCACAGGCCACTGGAGCAACTCTGGCATCCCGTAATTCACCACTAATGCCTGCTGCACGGGGAGATGCGCACAACAGTTGCTCAGTCAGCATGGCTCGGATGCTGGACATGGGCTCCCGAACGATTTTCAGTATCTTTGCTGCCAAAAGTCATCTCCTGGCCGGAGGTCCCGAACAGCCTGTATCACGCAAGCTCCGTCGTCGGGCCTTGCCGATGGATTTGTATTCACATGTGGGTCATGTCATGACCCCATACAACGAGTTTCAAGAGCCATACCCGCTGATTCAGTCTGGCTGCACTTGTGACCCTGGTTGCAAAGGCTGAAAGACTTGGTGCAGTCGCACAGTCGGAGCACATGAGTGGTTCAAGAGGCTGACCTTGCTGCAACAACTTCGCACTGCCCACTGGACAGAGGCGCAGGAATGCATAGCATTGTTCGTCACGGAGCGAGAGAGAAAACAGCATAGAGGTCAGGCTCGGCCCTCGATTCACTCAAGGTGTCCATGCTGGACTGCTTTTGCAGAAAACCTCGGAACTTGCAAGGAATGCAACTTCGCTCACACAGTGGCAGGGTTGTTTCAGAAATCGCTGCACTGCACCACGCACCACTTGTAGTCATGCTGCGGTTGGCCTCCCAACGCAGCAGGACCTCTGCCAGATTCCGAATCTGAGCAGCATCCGGCTGTTCTGACCGTCCAAAGTTCATAGCCTTGGCGACGTGGCGACGTCCAAAGAGCAAAAAACATCCAACGACTTCGATTCCACGTTCCATGGCGGCCCGCCTGCCAAACTTCGCTTGCCTGAGCCTGGCGACGAACCGGAACCCCCCCCAAGGCGCCCCACGCCCCGAAAGGCAGAGAGCTTTGCGCAGCAAAAAACCAAAGCAAAAAGCCAGCAGGGGGCATTGTCCGGCCTGCACTCTCGCCAAGGCCTGCGCATCGAAGCCGTCGCCAGCAGAAAGAGATGCGAAGGCTTCGAGCGCCTTTCCTCAAACAATCGGCACAAAACCCAGTGGCGACAACACGACGTAGTAAATGGGTACAGTAGATGGCCCGTGTGCATGTTTCCCACAGCAATCTGCGCATACCGTCCAAGCAGTAGCTGTCAGCAAGCCTTGGGAATCGTCCTTTCCCGCTGCAGCACGCATCTTGAGATGAGCTCTGCAAACTTCATTGACGTCGTTCGCTGTCAAAAGGAACGGCATCTCCTGCATACAGGAAGCTAGAGGCGAAGTCATTGAAGTTCTCTCCTGGCGCTCCTTGAACAAAGAACTGCCAGCCGCCATGGGCTCCACGACTTCCAAGCCCCTTCCGGCTCGAGGCGTATCCACCAGCGCGATGGAAGTCGACAGCGATGCCGGACTCGTGGCGTGCTCAGGCCTGTAGCGAAATCAACATGCTTAAGGCCTCTTCTCCGAGCATCAGTACACTGTAACTAGCTCTACTGTCGTTTATTAACAAGCTATCACCTTGCCATGGGGCTGGATGCAGTACCCGAACAGCAAGCACTGCTCAGGGACAAGAGCCGTACGATCGCGAAAGCGCGGATGCAAAAAGCGAACCAGCCACCTGCGAAATGCAAACACTGGAAACAAGAAGCTTGTTGGCTATAAACTAGATAACGAGAGGAACACTTGGCGTCGAGGGAGAATCCAAAACCGATTGCCTCCCAGATCTGTCGAAGCTCAGAACTTCACATGGTTCTCCTTCAAGCTCTTGTGCCACGCCTCAACAGCATCGCCACTGTTGCCGTCCCTTGCGTCTCACTTCGAAACGCGAAAGCCGCTTTTGTCGCGCAAACCCTCGGAACCGCCTGTCAAGTAAACTGTCGCTCCGGGAGGAAGTCGCATTCGCAGACCATGGATTGCGCGAGCTCTCACACTTCTGCCCCTATGGTGTCTTTGCCCGGTTTGCAATGTGAGAAACGAAGGCAGAGAAGCCACAACCACCTTCAGCAAGACGTGCTTCGAGTAAGGCCGGCGGCATCTGTTGCGATGCGAGTTCCAGCCAGAGTGTGCCCATGTCCTTGGGTGGGAAGTCACCGTGTTCTGGATGGTGGCCATGAGCCCATTGCCACAATTCCAAGTCGAACGTAGCATCAACACAAGCTTGAGCCAGAGCCAGCTTCAGCAGTAACTATTTCAAATCAGGGACGGCGCAAATGTTAGCTTCCAGTGTCGCAAGATGTCGTGAGTCTCTTCAAAATTAACGCATGATGTTACATCTGTTACCGTTCCGGTAGAGTCGTCAAGACTACTATAGCTTCAGTCCGAGAATGATGTCTACCACACCAGACCTCAAGCAGGGACTTTGAATACCACAGAAGTTTCCAGTCGCTTGACCCATCGCCCTCCAGCCTTGCGGCACCAGGGACATCGCACATCATTCTGATTTCCTTCGCATCGCAGCCACTGCGGGCTCTGCCATTCGTGCGCAGATTTTGCGGCACCACCCCCTTTGGCCACTGGCTGGCGGCGATTGTTTAAAACATTCATAGCGCGCCTGTTACGCGAACGGAAAAGTGCTCAACCCTCGAGGAATGCCCGTATAAACAAGAACGAGCTTTCGTTTTGACTCTCCAGACGATGTAGGAGGAAACGTCATATTCATCCCTCAAGAGTTTTGCAATCATAAAAAAAACACGCGTTCCTGAGCATACTGGCATAAGCTGCCAGTTGCTACAATAACTACATGTCGTTTTCCGCTTCTTGCGATAGCCTTTGGCTGAATCGCTGCGGTTCAAACTGAAGACTGCCCGCCATGCTCATACACTCCTCTACTCTAATAATTTGTCTGCAGGATACCAGATAAGAAAATGTAAGAAATGTAGCTACGAGCGCGAAGCTTGTCTGCACCACAAAAGGGAAGGCGCTGTGAAGGAGTACAATGTCTGATATGTACTGACAACCAGCAGCGATCCCAGCAAATAACACATAGCTGGCTTCTGCCTTTATTCCCAAGGAGCTGTTTGCCACCTTGAGTAGAAGTGTGGTGGACGCCAAGCTCAGGGAACCGTACAAGAACATGCAGGCGAAGTGTGGCCAGTCCAAGGTCCACAAAACGCGAGCTTCTTCGGGAAAGATGAGGGCCACAGGACTGAACATGATGAGCCCTACTCCACCTGACCATGTCAGAAGCACCGTATGATGCACTGTTCCACACAGATTGCGTTGCACCAAGGCAGACGTCGCCAGCGTTATGGCAGCTAAAAGCCCCAAGACTATGCCGAGAAGGGTCGCCTGGCTACTATGAGCAGCAGCACTCAGCATTGGCAGCACGGAAAGCAGGAGTCCCACAGAAGCCAAGCTTTCGTCCCACTCAATCTGCTCCCTAAGAATACACTGTTTCAACACGGCGCCGAAGCTTGACAAAGTTGCCAGTCCCGACAGGACAAATGTTCCAGGTGCCAAATGCACACCACCGCAGAGCAGCATGGAGGTGGCGCTGACAGAAAAAGTACCCAGCAACATCTGAATGGCTTGCTCAGGATTCCCTGGAAGCGCGGCAGGCTTGCGTGGGTGGAACCTGACGAGCACGACACCTGTAAACGCAAGCATGACGAATCTGGCGTAGATCAGATCCAGGACACCTATGCCAGCTCGCAGATTGGCATGTTCTGCCAGGTTGGTGCCGACAAGGCTCATAGCAGCCAGTAGAGAGGAGAAGAAGCGACTGTGCTCGAACCCCTGAAAAGATGCCAACTCTCCAACCAGCACTAAGCTGCAGATTGCCGTCGCGAGGCAGAACACTAGTTGTGGCTGGGAGAGGATATCAAGCGATACGGCTGCTTCGAGCAGCGCCTTTGCTGTGGTCCGGTGGTGCCGGAGCTCGCCCAGCGGCAAGACAGGGACAGCCTGGGTCTCGTCTTGCGGTGAGCGCATGCCACCAATGGCACTGAATGTATCGAGCGCTGCCACTTCTGGATGGCTCACCTCACTGTATCACCCTGCAGCTCACCTGTGCTACCGACTGTTTTACTCGTTGCCGGGAAGCATTCCGGAGACCGGCGTGATGCATGGACGCATTTGCATCCTTTGCAGGCTTTTGATGCGAGGTAACATGATCAGGCCTCCACCAAGTTCTGACTCAGCCATGACACTTTTGAGCCGGTCGATGAAGGCAGTCCTGCGACAGCTTGCGCACTGCAAGTTTCTTCGACGTCTTGAGAGGGCATGGGGTTGGATCAGAAACTGGTTCATTTCTCGCTGGTCCTCTTGGAAGCTGCAGAAGAGCAGCAGCGTCGTCACATGCCTCCTTCACAAGGCAAGGGCACTTTTGCTTGGCAGGGCATGTACCGCGGTTTCGGTTCTTTGCTGTCCGAACTGATACATTAGAACCTGAAGACTGGAGCAAGTATTTGCATGTGCAACCAGACAGTGACTGAGTGTCGGTGCTTCATGGACGTCTGTCCTGGAAAGCGGTCACAGTGACAATCAGTCCGCAGAGCTGCAGCAACCAATGCATGAAGCCTGTCAGATTTGGAGATGCTGGCAAAGTCTCGTAGCAGTCACAGGTCAGAACATCCTGGACTAGTACTCGGACCTGCCAATCCTAACTGTGAGGTAAGCAAGTGCACAAAAAGTGGCAATCGCGACACTTTTCTTTCACGCCACATGCGGTACCCATCGGTCCACTGCTTCAGCCCAGCCGGCCTGTCAGAGGTGAAACTGTCAACTGAACATGGCCCCCAAGTCCAGTGCGCATGGGAAGCTGGGTTCGATGACGTGAAATAGACCTGCAGAAGCACCTCATCACAGGAAGCGACCGTGTACTCGGCCACCTGGCAACGGCAAGGGAGACCTGGTTTTCCTGGTGCGGTCGCAACGATGTCAGCTGCACCTCTTTTGAGATCGGTCGTGCATTCTGCACGGCTGCTGATATGCCACCGCCGCGACCTCATGCCAGAATGTCACACCTAGCCAGCGCTGTGCGAGGCAACTTCGTGGCCGATTTCTTACGTCAAGCTACTCGCGGTACAGACTTTGGGCGAGCCACGTATCTCGCGAAGCATCTCAACATCATTCTCGCCATCCCCCAACCTGGCAGGCTTCTGAGCAAGGCCTGCATCTGGAGCGAGGTGACAGGACGGCTACGGCCCCAGCGCGAGGACATCACTTGGATCAGCATCCAGAAGTTTCAAAGCTTGCCTGCACATGCTTCTGCAAGAAGTGCGGATGACTTTCTTTGCACATTGATGTCCTGGCCTGACACCGTCGGCCTTGCTAATCCCCTTCGGCAAGACTTCCACCATGCCTGCTATGGCGACCGTGAGAGATGCCTGCGGCATTGCGGGTCGCAACACGCAGACGTCCGGAAAGATACTAAGAAATCGCCTCTGCACCGATCGTCGCTTCCACCTCAACCCTGACAGCCTGCTTCACAGTCATGTCGTGCGAGCAACCAGACTGAACACACACACACACACGAAAGCTTCGAGCAATTCGGCGATAAATGTAAGGAGCACATGCAGGAAGTTAGAGACTTGGAGCTAACCGAAACTGAGTCGGAGTTCAACTCGAATACGAGGCCTCAGACAGCGTTGCGTTCAGCACAGACAGGAGCTCGGTTCCGGGTCGCTCTCCGGTTCTTTAGACGATACAGTTGCATCGCCCGTGGTGTGCGGATGTGTACGGCAGCCCGTCAGAATTCTCCACCTTGCGCACGTTGTGTCGCAGTGTGTGGCATTCTTTGGAGTCCCGGCTTTATGGAACTTTAGTAGGGTGCAGGCTCTAGGGCTTCGGCTTCGGGCTTCTCCAGGTCGACGCTTGGGTTTCGCAGCGAGGTCTTCTTGCCGGTTTAGATTGGGGTGTCGCGTACAGGGTGGTTCCGTCTGTGGCTTGATGACCATTTCGAATTTAGGGTTAACCAAGACCACACTCGAAGTAGAAGCGAGTGTGTGCCTGTGTGCCCGAACCCGGCGCCCTCATCCGATTTTTCGGACTCTCCGACGTCTTGCAAGGAAAAAGACATGGTGGGTGCTATGAAGCACTTGCGCACAGACCGGCGGATCAAAGTGCAAAAAAACGAGACATGCATACAGAAACGAGAGTCGGATAATCCGGCCTTTTCCATCGAAGGGTCCCCGAGAAAAAGAAGTTTGTGAATTCTGATATTTTCATCCACAGTGCCAAACGTCACCTCAGCATCTTACCGACTTTCGCCACAGGCAAAGGTCAACAGGCGCAGTAAATGTGCCAGGTCGCAGGTGGTTCACCGAGTGCGTTGATGGCTTGGATCAGAGGGCTTGCTCGATTGCCTGGGCTGAGCGTTCGAAGTCAATTTTCCGGCCTTCTATTTGTCTAGCTCTTCCTGCGTCCCGGCTGCTGATGATCTGGTCGGAATCCTGAGTGAAGGCTGGGCAATACCCGCTCAACCGTCAGACCCACCACGTGTTGAACCAAGACTCGGTGTACGCCAACAGTGTCCACGCTTTGCGCTCTGCCAGGCGAGCACAAGCGTGAAACACACTGGCCGGCAGCACGCTGGCGACCACGACCTGTCGACTGACTCTATCCGACTAGCACTGATTCCATCACGCAAGGTGTGAAGTCTCATCACACACTGACCTGTCCAGCAGAATCGCACACAAGCAATCCTTGCACGAATACTCCAGGTGCATTCAGCGTCCACTCGGACAAGGCCTCATCGCAAGGACACAAATACAAAATTAGTTGCTAGTCCATCATGATGACCTTAGGATACGGCTTGAACACTTGGATCAGCCACCTGCCCAAGGCGAGCGTGAACGGTTTGGGACGCAACAGCTTCACAGGCACCTGATCCAGCAAACGACGAACCCAGGGGCCGCGATGCTTGCCCGTTGCCAAGATGACTGGAACACCCTGTCGCACGCAGCGACGAAGGGCCTGGCAACAGCCGCACAACCAGACTGCAAGTGCCTCAGCTTCAACGTCCTGCCTCACAGTTTGCGGCTGGCAGCTGATTTGATGAATTCATCAAGGTCCCATCCTAGATGCTGGAGACCGAGGTAAAAAGACAGGATACGTTGCAGCTGCCTCAGGTCGGAGCCACATCTGTGACGACCACCAAAGCTCTTCTGCTGTGTTCCGTGAGCTCTGAACGTGCTCTCTGCATCACCCAGCCGCAACCTCCCACACACATGAAGAAAGCAAGCTTCACACCTAATCTAGTTGCAGTTTCTCCCACCTGCTCGATTTTGCAAAGCTAGAATGATGGACACCGCAGCGGAGAACACCAGCATCACCTTCTCAGAGCAGGCAGAAATGACTGTGATTGACCGGGCTGCACGAGTGCAACAGTGGGAAGCCTGACCGTGCTTCCCCTTGCCATGCGCCCCCAAGCCGTGTACACGAGGTTGTCGGCTTCCGCGGTAGCATCTTCCCATGGCACAGGAAAGACTGATTGCGGGATTCGCAAAAGACAGCGTGAGATGCAGTCCGAACCACTTTACGGGCTTATCGGCTACATGGTTATTCAATTACAGTTTAATTAACACAATGAGATCTCAAAGAGACTTTACTGGCATGTTTGACGACTCGCAGGACCTGTTGCGGCTGCGCAGACGTGGACAAAACGTGCACAGGACGGAATTCTGCGAGGAAGTGGCGCACGCAGGAACCCAGCGTCGGCCTGTTCGGTAGGGCGGGGGAAAAACTGTCAGTGCGTTTGAGCCATCGATGCAACCAGCATGGGAGCGGAATACACACTACATCTCTCCGATATTGCAACTAAATAGAAAAACGCGGCTACAGGCCGAACATTTGGCACTGTGCGGCAGCAAATTGCTGCTCCTAAGAAGCATGCGGGCCGCTGGTCCCAGAAAGTCATCCACAGAAACCGGAAACGCAGGACCTTTGCACCTATCTGTACAGATCCGTGCGCAGAGCAGGCCACAAGTCTCTCGGAGATTGCAACTTGCAGGCATTAGCGCAGCGAGCTTTCACGGTCGATGAGGCGCCAAATGCCTTCGATTCTACACATGCAATTCAAGCGGAGTCAAGACTCTTGCTGGCGCGGCACTGCTATTGCAGAAAGAAGCTGAGTTTGCCACGCAGCACGTCTCATGCGGTCTAACTGTTGAATCTTTTGTAGTCTCAGAAGCGACTCTTGCACCTGCATGCACCGAAAGAACTTGCAGTCCTTGCCAGCCCGAGACCCATGTCCTTCTCCCCAGCTGGCTCGAAGTCCAACAAACGTAAATCTTGGGGACTCAGGCCGTGCCTCAACTCCAAACAATGCCGATTAGAGGACACGCAGCATCGTGCACCATGACTCTGCGAAAAGCTGCAACATTCCAAGCCTCTCTGCAGGGACTGCCCGTGGCTTCACCTCCGAGCAAGTTAACGAACCTACTTCAACTGCCAATGCAGCCGCCACCTCAACACGGTGAGACGCGTGGCATTAAATCGGTAATGACTGCGACGCTTGCACGCACTCCACGCAATTCCACGCGGTGCACCTGGAGCTGCTGGACTTGCCACTTCCATCGTGGCATTTGCTCGCGCCTAATCTGACACTCCAAACCTCTGCATGAGCTGGAACCATGAGTTCCGAGCCGAGCGTTCCAGAGCTCCTGCCTTGGTTGCGACTTTTTCCGAGGCAGTCGGAGCTCGGTCGAGAGCCGAGGTTGCCACTGTTCCGGTTGCCACCGCTGGAGTTCCCCGCTCCCTTCAATGCGCCGAGGAACTGGAGCCGGTGTGGCCCTCGAGTAGTGACACTCACAGTGTACAGTACTAGCACAGTGGTAGCACAGGAGTACGCACAGTGGTACAGTAGCTGTATGGTAGTACTGTAGAGGGCGCTGGTAGTACAGTCACAACTTTCCCAGCCCGACACACTCCCTAAACCCTGACACCAGCCAAAATAATGCTCCACGTGGTTCTTTGCTGTCGCATAGCTTGTCTGGCTCAGCTGCTCTTTGCAACCTAACATAACCATAAGACTCTAACGACGAAAGGAGCTACAATCAATCATGAAACCAAGGCTATAGTGTCAACATTGCTGTTCATTGGTATCGTATTTAGGGCGTCCCGTATCGTTTTGCATGTCTCGCTGCCTATCTCAACGTGCCAGCATCAGCATGCATCTGCAAACCCAGCCTCTTGCCCACGAGCTTCGATGCCACCGGTGCAGTGGGACGGACATTTGAATGCAACACCTCTCCATTTGCCAGCGATGGACATGTGGGCTCGCGGTAGCTTCCTAACCTTCTCCGAAGGCCTTTCCACCGTAGGGTCCGCAGCTCGTCTCAACCCTGGATCCGAAGAGGGCCTCAGCTCCGCTTCTCTCAGCTCTAGATAAGCCATTCGATTCTCGTGAATGCCACGAGTAGGATCCACTAAGGTCAACGCTTGGTCGGGAGCAGTGACAATCTCCATGTTGGCAATGATCTGTGGCATCCCCCTGGCAAGACTAAATACTCAAGATTACTCAAGCCAAACGATGCCGAAAGATCCGCTTCCACCATGCACAAAATACGTTCA